TGTATAATGATTGATTGTAGTAGTATACCTTATTCGGGAGTTATATAGGGATTAATATAATTGATGAACACATATTTCTTTTCTTATCTAGATAAATGTTTTAACAGAGTCGTTAAATAATCAATAATGAGGCAATTTAAGGGCCAAATTTTATTGGGTCTAGGTTACACAAGGATTGCCGAAAGAGAGAGAGGGGGAGAGAGATGGAGAGTGGAGAGAGAGAGAGAGGGGGATAGATGAGATGAGAGAGGGAAGATGAGAGATAGAGAGAGGGAGATGAAGAGAGAGAGAAGGAGATGAAGAGAGAGGAAGCGAAGATGAGCAGAGAGAGGGAGATGAGAGAGAGAGAGAGAAGTGGAGATGAGAAGAGAGAGAGAGAGGGAAGATGAGAGAGAGAGAGAGGAGAGGATGAGAGAGAAGAGGGAGATGAGAGAGAGAGAGGGAGATAGGAGATGAGAGAGAGGAGAGAGAGAGAGAGATGGGAGAGAGATGAGAGAGAGATGGAGATTAGCGAGAGAGAGGGAGATTGAGAGAGAGAGAGGGAGATTGAGAGAGAGAGAGAGGGAGATGAAGGAGAGAGAGAGGGGAGATGGAGAGAGAGAGGGAGATGAGAGGAGAGGGGAGATAGAGAGAGAGGAAGAACGAGAGAGAGAAGGAGATGAGAAAAAAGAGAGAGGGAGATGAGAAAGAGAAGGGAGATGAGAGAGTAGAGGGAGAAAGATGAGAGGAGAGAGAGGGAGAGATGAGAGAGAGAGAGGGAGATAGGAGAGAGAAGAGGAAGATGAGAGAGAGATGAGAAAGATAGAGAGAGGAGAGAGAGAGAGACGAGAGATGAGAGAGGGGAGATGAGAGAGAGAGAAGAAGGAGATAGAGAGAGAGCAGGAGATGAGAAGGGAGAGAGAGTGAGTGGAGTGAGTGAGAGGAGAGAGAGAGAGAGAAGAGAAGAGAAGAGTAGAGATGGAGAGAGAAGAGTAGAAGAGAGAAGAGTAATGAGCGTACGCCACATGGATGTAGAGAAGCGAGATAAGCGGAGAAACGAGAACGGAGAACGAAAAGACAGCGAGTTAACGAAGTAGGAAAGGGAGAAACGGGAGAACGAGAACGATAAGTAACGAGGAACAGAGAGCGAGAATGCGAGTACGAAAAAATATGAGATTGCGGGTAAAGTGAGGCGAAGGGGTTAGTATACGAAGCTTAGCAGAGGACATGCAGGGAAGGAGAGAGAGAGCGATAACAAATACATCGACCATGTAAGCCTTGATCGTAATGTGGCACACCAAGGAGTCCAGAGCTAAGACAGAATTGTACCAGGTCGTGATCTCCTCGGACAGGATCTCGAATTGTTCTGATTGGGCCAAGTAGCGGTCACGGAAGTCCCTAGAGCACAGAGAGAGGTGGCGGGGAGTAGCCGTCGAGGACCGTGGTCGTGGGGGCTATGCGGGGGGAACGATAGCTTGGGGTCAATATATAGAAAAATAGTTAGAGAACATGGACGTTCACATCGTAGAAACACTGACAAAAAAAAGAGATGTGTAAGTTAGAGGAAGACGGTGGGGGTGAGGGGGCGAAAAGGAGGACAATGGGAGTAGGAGGGGAGGCGGGAGGTTAGGGGGGGGATAGGGATCATGTGATTGGAAAAATGAGAGGGCGGTGAAAACGGAGGAGAAGAAGGGAAGAGGGCGAGGAGGTGGGAGTGGAGAATGAGGAGTAGAGGGAGGGGGGGAGGGCGAGAGAAGAGAGTGAAGGGCGGGAGGGGCGGGAGGGGAGAGGTGGGGGGGGGAGGGGAGAAAGGGCGGCGGGGGGAGTGGATGGGAGAGGGGAGGGGCCGGGGGGGAAGGTGACGGGGGGGGGAAGGGCAAATAGGGAGTGGTAGGTAATGGGGGTGGATAGGGGAGAGGGACCGAGGGGGAGGCCGGGGGGGTGAGGGGGGGGAGTCAAATAGTGGAAAATGGAGGGTTGGGGGAGGGTGGGGGTGTTGTGGGTGGCCAGCGGACAAGGGGAGGAGGGGTGACTGTATAAGAAATGCAGCAGAGGAGATAGGCGGGCGCGTGAGGGGAGGGAGAGAGGGAAGAGAGGGAGGGTGGGAGGGCGGGGGGAGAGGGAAGGAGGGATGTGGGAGGAGGAGGGGAGGGGAGGAGGGGTAGGGGTGGGAGAGGGGGGGGGATGGGAGAGAGGGGTGGGGGTCAATGATAGTGAAGGGTGGGGGGACGTTGTGGTGGGGGGGTGGGGTGTACAGGGGAATGAAAAGGAAAGGACAAGGGGAACAGATAGGAGGTGCTGGGGGTGGAGGGGCGGGGGGGTGGGGGTGGAGGCGGGTGCGCGGGCCGGCGGGGGATTTTAAGAGTTTGGATGAAACAGGTTGCGTAAATATTTGGTTTATTATGGATAGTAGCCCCTACTCATCGTACTATGTTGGTGGTGTTATTCTGTATATTTGTTACTCTTAATCATTAATTATTTTTTACATAAATTTTATGCAACATTATTACTAGGTTAGGATTTCAAAGAGATAAACATTATCGTTGTTAGGTTTTTATTATTAGTATTAAAGAGTTTATTCATTTATTAATTCAGTTGGCGAAGCACGTGAGTTCTAAGGGCAGCCACATTATTCTACCTCTCAAGGCATCATGTTCTCTTAAACGGATCTCCCCTCTGCATTCTCTACATTTGAGGCGAGTATTAGTACACAGTTGCCACAACACCGAGGTAATGTTTTATCTAGTAGCATGTTCAAGCTCTCGGGAGAAATGAGATCTCTCACTTATACTTCTGGGAGGCGGATCCAAGAGAACCTATAGTCTGTACGCCTGATAATGTGTGTTTTCACAAGAGCGCTTTATATTTATATATCTTATGCTCTCTGTGTTATCCTGGGGATATCTCACATTACTGTGTAGTCGTCTTTTAATCCACCAATCGTGTTACCCATTGAGTCTGATCATTTATCTGAGCGTCTGTTACTTTGAAATGGGTAGCTTATGATCCAAGAGGAGCATTTAATCACTTAATGGTCTTTGTTCTTCTGTTACGGCGTGGGGACTCCATACTCTGTAAGGCCTTTGTCGGCGAGTTAGCGCACTCAATAGAGAGGGTTCTATATGAACTTTTCTTCGTTTACCTGTGCGTTAACTATTCTGGTGTTAGAATACCATACCCTGTTATCTTTGGGAATGTTATCAAGGTGACCCCATACTCTGTAACCTAGAAAGTGAGTTTCAAAGAGACAGGCTTAAGAAGCTACTGGTACAATAATATTGTCTCTGGTGTGTTATAATAAAAAGTGGGACTAGCTCACTACTAACTATGTTACATTTACTGGTAACTATTTTTGAACAGAGAGGGTTTTCTATAACTCTTGTATGTATTGCGAACGGTAGACTGCTTGCGATAACTTGTTGGGTACATGTTTATCCAGATTAACCTGGTACCGTTTTGTGACGTGTTATCCAAGAGTAACCCCGATATTTACTTTTGTACTTATGACGAAGCTTAAAGTTTTCTAAGAGAGTATAATACTTTAATATATGTGTCTGTGTGGTTAATAGTTGTCCACGACTGACTGATCTTGATGGTCTGAGCCACGTCTGTCATCTTTGTGAAGTTATCGGAAGGGACGCGTATTTTCTGGTCCTCTGGGGCAGCGTGTGTCCGGGGCCGAGATACTAACCCCAAGCCCTGCGGAGTTGTTGACAGTCCAGTTTTTTGGGGAAGTAGCCCGTCCTCTGAGAATGGCACTGCGCCAGTTGCGGAGGCTTTGAAAAAACCCTCGGAAGGCGAACTCCCAGGGTTTGGAACGATGCGTCATGTTCGGTATTCTGGTCTTAGAGCGAGCGGTCGTGAAATAATGGCCAAACTTAAATAAGGTGGGATTGACAGGAATTTTAGATATGAGGAATGGGATGTCAGAGGAGAAAGTTTTTAGGTAGTGTGAGATAACGAGTGGTTATAAAAGAAGAGGGGAAGTTGCAATTGAGTGCTCGCAACACACGCGTGGGTTTGTTGCAAGTTGCGAAATATCGTTTGTGGCTATAATTGGAGTGATCAGAAAATTTCAGGGTGTTGAGCTTGTTCTAGTCTACAGAATTTACTATGGCTGAAACTACAAAGCGAAAAGAAACAACCAACCATCATCATTCATCTACACATGTTCATCTATTCTGCATCACATTTTCATCATGCATCAGAATATTATCAATCATATTTCATCTATGCATCATCATTGCCTTAAATGATCAATCATTCATCATTATAAATCATCAACTCATCTTGATCAATTCATCCACGACAAAGTGATATCAGTCACATGCCAACATGCAAATCATGCAGTCATAATCATATCATACAAGTATCATCAAGGGAAATCATCAATACATCATCATTCAACTCATCATGCATGCCATCATCAATTCATGCAATCATCATTTATCATATCATCTCATTAATCCATCATCATCATCTATCATCAGATCATCATCATCATCAATAGATATTAACAGAATATGGATTGGATTGGAGTAATGGAGATTCGTATTCGCATTAGCTAAAGTGGAAACAAAATATTCGCATTCACGAATACCAAAATTTGTTCATCTTTCCATATTTATATAGAGAGAGGATGAATGAATGGAGAGAGAGGGAAAGAAGAGATGGGGATAGATATAGATAAAGAGAGAGAGAAAAGGTAAAACTACAAAAAGCAAACAAGAATATAACAAATCGCGCTAAAATCAAATAATAAACAAACAACAATGCAGACCACATAAAAACTCAAACACACAAAACATACACACAACACAAAATCAACACAAACACATACATACACACACAAAAAAAAAATCAACAAACACACACATACATACAAAAAATAAAGACCCAAAAAAATCAATAACACGACCGCTTTTTAACCCAAATCCCCCCAATATCAATAACACGACCATTTTTTAACCCAAATCCCTCACCTGGCGATAATTTGCTGGTGCATGTAGTAAAACAGCTCCCCCTTCCTGTCCCGGTCGACGCCCATGCCAGGCGGGTAGATCAGGTGCCAGTGCCAGTGGTGGACGTTGATGCCGTAGTCCTCCCGCCAGTACGAGACCCGGTGTTCTGGCTTGACGGGGGAGCCAGAAAACTCCGGACCGTGTTCTATGATCACGGCTTCGCTCTGGGAAAGTTATTTTGTTATTGGTGTTAGCATTATTATCATTGGTATTGTTATTATCATCGCCATCACTGTCATTCATTGTCATATCATGATAATGATATTATGATGATGATATTAATGATAATGATAATGATAATAATAATGATAATAAATAATAAAAATAATGATAGTAATAATAACAGAGTTATGAATAAAATAATAATAACAATTATTATTACAACTAAAACTATCATTATATTATTGTAATTGGCATGATAATTATAATTAGCGGGTCCCGTAGATATTGCTTATCTCCTTCAACCTCCCCCACCCTTTACCCCCTTATGTCCCTCTCCCCCATTCCACTTTTCTCTTCGATCCCCCTTCCCCCTCTTCCTCTCAGAGTCTCTTTCGTTTCCCCCCTTCCTCATCTCTCCTTTCTTCAAGCTCACTTATTTTTCTTTTATCCCCCCTCCTCCCTTCCGTTCTCTTTATCCGTCCTTTTTTATCTGTTCCATTTCTTCTTCCGCTTCCTTAATCCCTCTCCATCCTTTATTTATTCTCTGTTCCCTTTTCTTTTCCTTCTTTTCTTTCCCTTTCCTACCTTCTTTTTTAAGTAATTTATGTGGATTGATAATTTCAGTAAAGTGTAATTGCCTCAGAGAACTACCATAATGACAGCAATTGTGATAATGATAATAACAAGAATTGTGATAAGAGCAGAGTTAGATGCATAACAAAAGGTCTTTATGTGTATATGTGTGTGTTTGTGTGTGTATGTGTGTGTTTGTGTGTGTATGTGTGTGTTTGTGCGTGTATGTGTATGTTTGTGTGAGTGTGAGTGTGTGTGTGTGAGTGTGAGTGTGTATGTTTGTGTGAGTGCGTGTGTATGTTTGTGTGAGTGCGTGTGTGAGTGTGTGTGTGTATGTGGTTCTTTAATATCTACGTTGTCAATCATAACCCCATTTTACATCCAAAATGAAGCTAATTCAACTCCGCAGTCACACAGAATATTTTTTTTTTCAGGCATAACATCCCCAAATTACTGTGAAATGAAATGGCTTCAGCTCCAGTTACATGGAATATAATTGGATGCGTAACAAGCAAGTGCAATATACGGGGGGGGGGGGGGGGGGTCGAATGGGTCAAATACCAGCAGAACTATATTTATGTTCTATGATCATCATTATGATTATTATATCATTATCATTAATATTATCTTTATCCTTTCTCTTATTATCATTTACACAAACATTTTAATATCATAAAATTATCATTGACATGATACCGATATATTACTTTTTGTTATTATTTCATCCTCCATCATTCATTACCATCTCATCATTATATTATCATTACCATCATTATTATTATTATCATTATATCTTATTGCCATCATTGCATCACATCCATACTATTACTTTGATGAATGTTCATTTACTCCATTATAATATCTAATGCCGCTATGATTACTATTTTCGTTATTCTTATTAGTATTATCAATTTATCACTATTGATATTGTTACATTGTTATCCATATAATTTATACTAATTTTATTTGCTACCCTTTTCATCACATATCATCATTATTATCATCCCTTATAGTAATAGATAGAAGTCCAGAAATAGCAGTCCAACTAACAGCAATAGCAAGAACAGTAACAACAGGAGTAACAACAATAACAGTAACAACAACAGGAGTAACAACAATAACAGTAACAACAACAGGAGTACACAATACAGTAACAACAACAAGTAAGACAGGAGTAACAAAATAGCAGTAACACAACAGGAGTAACAACAAAGAGTAACAACACAGGAGTAACAACAATAGCAGTAAACAACAACAGGAGTTAACAACAATAACAGTAACAACAACAAGGAGTTAACAAACAATAACAGTAACAACAACAGGAGTAACAACAATAACATAACAACAACAGTAACAACAACAGGAGTAACAGTAAACAACAACAGGAGTAACAACAACATAACAGGAGTAACAACACATAACAGTACAGTAAACAACAGGAGTAACAACAATAACAGTAACAACAACAGGAGTAACAACAACAGTAACAACAACAGGAGTAACAACAATAACAGTAACAACAACAGGAGTAACAACAAAGCAGATAACAACAATGAAGTAACAACATAAGCAGTAACAACACAGGAGTAACAACAATCGTAACAACAAGGAGTAAACAACAATAACACTAAACCACAACAGGAGTAACAACAATAACAGTAACAACAACAGGAGTAACAACAATAACAGTAACAACAACAGGGAGTAACAACAATAACATTATAACAATACACAGGAGTAAACACAAATACAGTAACACAACAGGAGTAACAACAATGCAGTAACACAACAGGAGTAACAACAGTAGCAGTAACAACAACAGGAGTTAACAACAATAACAGTAACAACACAGGGAGTAAACAACAATAACAGTAACACAACAGGAGTAACAACAGTACAACAACAGGAGTAACAACAATAACAGTAACAACAACAGGGAGTAACAACAACAAGTAACACAATAACAACACACACAATGCAGTAAACAACAGAGTAACAACATACAGTCACAACAACAGGAGTAACAACAATAACAGTAACAACAACGAGGAAGTAACTACTAATAACAGTAACAACAACAGGAGTAAGCAAAACAATGAACAGTAACACAAACAGTGAGTACTCAACACATAACATAACACAACAAGGTAGTAACCAACAATAAAACAGTAACACAACGGATAACAACAATTCACAATAACTAAAACCAGGAGTATACAACAATAAAGTAAACATTAGCAGAAAACAACAGGCAGTAACAACCAAATAAGCTCAGATAAGCAAGAGTAACAACAATGCAGTACAACAACTGGAGTAACAACAATTAGCAGTCACAATTAACAGGATAACAACAATAACAGTAACGACAACAGGAGTAACAAAATAACAGTAACAACACAGGAGTTAACAACATTAGCAGTAAACAACAGGAGTAACAACAATGCCAGTAACGACAACAACAGGAGTAACAAAATCGGCCAGTAGACAACAGCGAGTAAACATACATTAGCAGTAACAACAAACAGGAGTCGAAACAATAAAGTAAACAACACAGGAGTAACAAAGCAATAGCAGTAACAACACAGGAGTACAACAATAACAGTAACAACACACAGGAGTAACAACATAACGTAACAAACAAGGAGTAAACAACAATAACTAGTACACAACAGGAAGTAACAACATAAGTAACACAATAACAGCTAACAACAGACAGGAGTAACAACAATGCCCAGTACACAGGAGTAACAACATGCCAGTAAACAAAACAAACAGGAGTAACGAAACATTACGTAAACAAACAACAGAGTAACAACAATATAAGTAACAACAACAGGAGTTAGATCAACAATAACAGTACAACAACCAGGAGTAACAACAAACAGAAGTAACAACAATAAGAGTAACAACAACTAGGAGTAGAACAACAATAACGTAAACAACAACAGGGTAACACATAGCCAGTAAACAACACCAGGATAACAACATAATGCAGTAACAACAACAGGAGTAACAACAAATGCAGTAACAAACACAACAGGAGTAACAACATTAAGAAGTAACAACAACAGGAGTAACACAATAACAGTAACAACAACAGGAGTAATCAAAAATACAACAGTAACAACAAACAGGGAGTAAACAACAATAACAGTAACAACAACAGGAGTAACAACAAAACAGAGTAACAACAACAGCAGGAGTAACAACAATAACAGTAACAACAACAGAGTAACAACAATAACATAACAACACAGGAGTAACAACAATAACAGTAAAAACAGGAGTAACAACAATAACAACAATACAGTAACAACACAGGAGTAACACAATAACAGTAAAACAACAGGAGTAAAAACAATAACAGTAACAACAACAGGGAGTAACAACAATAACAGTACAACAACAGGAGTAACAACATAACAGTAACAACACAGATAACACAATAACAGTAACAACAGGAGTAACAACAATAACAGTAACAACAGGAGTAACAACAATAACAGTAACAACAATACAACAATACAATAACAACAACAGGAGTAACAACAATAACAGTAACAACAACAGGAGTAACAACAATAACAGTAACAACAACAGGAGTAACAAAAGTAACAATAACAGTAAACAAGGAGTAACAACAATAACAGTAACAACAAACAGGAGTAACAGTAACAACAGTAACAACAACAGGAGTAACAACAATGCCAGTAACAATCGTAATGCTAAAAGTAGTAATAAACACCCTGTACATACCTGGTTAGGATCCATCCTGTTTACCTGCAGCTGCGCCCTCGACAGCGCCCTCTGGGGCACGAAGCGGGACGGGAACACCTCCACCATGGTCGGCAGACGGACGGAATGGAGTTCCTGAAGAAGGCGGTCGAAAGGGCATCGTTGTACAATTGCATTACTCAGGTAGTGTCTTGCTCAAGTTGATGAGGTATCAGGATGTCATATAGCTATATGAAAAACACTATATGATATATAATTATGAATATATGACATATAAAAAAAATATATATGATAATACATATAATAATATATAATATAATATATAATATATATAACTATGCAATATATATAACAATAAATATATAACAACAATTATATAATAACGCAGTAAGGAGCGTATTAGAGTCTTTAAAGACTAGTTAATCACTTAACAAGATCATATTGACTGATTACAGTGCTTGTGAATCGTTGTACCGTGTTTGTAAAAGATCTTCCGTTTTTTTTTTTGTTTTTTTAACATATTACTTAGAATGACAAGTGAAAAAAAGTTGATGGATGGAATAAATAAGAAAACGAGAAAGAGAAAGAAGATTGCTTGGAAATCTGACTCATCTCTTAGGATAGTGAAGGAAGCGACTGGACGAAAAGGATGAAAAATCATTATAACAAGAACATGTTAACTCAGAGAGAAAGAAAATAAATGATGGTGAAATAAAGATAGAGAGATAGAATGGAAATTAAAAGATGGAAAAGGAAAAAGATAATAGAATACAAGCCTATTTTTTTCTCTTTCTCTTAGATGACAAATAAGTGTAGTCTAAATAGGATAAAGCATTAACAGACAGAAAGCATCTTATTAACATTCATATAACAGGGCTGAAGAGGAACAAGAAAAGAAAGAAGAAAACAATAATAATCAAAAAAACGACAGCAGAAAGAAGAAAATTAGAGAAAAAAAGAAAAAAAAGAAGAAAATAGAAAAAAAGAAAAAACAAAGAAGAAAATTAGAGAAAAAAAGAAAAAAAAAAAAAGAAAAAGAAAAAAAAAAAAAGGTTAGAACTGACCTTCTTTCTGAGGATGACGAAAGAAATGGCGTAGATGAACAAGGTCTCGTTCACTTTGCCATGCACGCGCGCTGCCACTTGCATGAGGTCTTCGGCCCCGTTCGTCTCTGCAGATTAAAAGAAGAAAAGAGAGAGAGAGAAAGAGGTGAAGCATGAAGGCGGAGAGAAGGAAGAGAAAAAAGAATAGAGGAATTAGTAGCTCTTGTGTTTGTAAGCCAAAGAACTCCTATATCAAAAGAACACATCACAATAACACGTTGCCATAACTTTCCTGGATATCTAAGCCCCAAAACCCGCGAAATTTAGGTAGCCACACAACTCACAGAGACAAGGCGGCATCTCAATCACCTCTTTGATTAGGCTACATAATTACTCTCAAAGACATCTTCAACATCGCCAAACTGCCTGACTTCACTGGGTAAACTTAACCCTAAAGGTAAACCCACATCGAGGCCCATCACTCAAACTGACTCCTTTGGATCAACTTACTCATAAAGACGTTACACAGATCCCTGGCGGCTCGACGGTGAGACGCGAGGAAGAAGGAGAAGGCCGACCCCATAGGAATCGAGGTGGCTGTGCCCAGATCCTGCAGCGCCACGTCCTTTCGCTCCGGCACCGGCACGCTGACGGAAGGGGAAAGTCCTACTCTCGTGGCCACGGAAGGAGGCTGGAAAGATGTGGGAAATGTGGATAGTGGATAGTACAGAGGCGTATCAAAGCAGGAAAATTACCTGAGACATCCATGGGAAGAACAGGTCTGATGAACGTATGAACTGCAACTAAAATTATTATTCTGATTACAGTTAATGGTTTATTTTCTGGTTATCATAGATTCAAATCAATGAAAATCATTCGGTTCTACTAATGGCAACCCAATAGAATAAATAAAATATCACACACATTGGCAAAATTTTCGTACGCTACCCTATCTATTCATCTATAACGTATCCATCTATCGCAGATATCTGTACACCTTAATCCCTAGCAGCCACAAAGACGCGCCATCTTGCATACTAACCGTATCATCGTTCTCGAGCTTGAATTGGACCGAACCACCTCCCCTGGGGGTTTGAATAGGCTCCTGGGGGAGTTCGAACAGGTAAAGAAGACGCTGCTGGTCGTTCGCCATGGTTCTCTGGTCCACGGACGAGAGCCTGAAGGAGGTGTCGGAGCGAGACGACGAGAGGAAAGAGGAGCGCCCGCGGCGGAGGCGAGGGAAGGAGTGCGGCTGGCGGAGGTCACGCTGGCTCTGGGTGCCGTGGCAGGATGGTTTCTGTGACGTGTTTTCGAGTTACACACACACACAC